AGACGAATGGGGGGGGGGGGGGAAGGGAGGGGGCGCGCGGGGGCGGGAGTCCCCGTGAAGAGACCCCGGGGGGGCAGCCGCCGGACCGTGGACCTGCTGGGGAGGGGGCAGGGAGCGGGACCAGTAGCGGTCGAGAAGGTCCCCGCTGCTAGTCGGAGGGAAGGCGAGGCAGGTCCGCCGCCTCAGGCAAGCGCGTGTATCGAGAGCCGAGAACGCCTAGTGGGGGCTTGCCTAGAATTGGGTAGGGGCTGCATCTCCCGCTCCCCGGAGCTGTTGCTTCTCTCTTGCCTCTCTTTCCACTTAAGGCAGCCGCCCGGAAAGAAGGCTGCTGCTTGGGGACTATGCGGGGAGTCTGTCGGTGCTGCTGCCCGGAGGCATTCGCATTCAGCCTCCATGCTCTTCAAACTGCCTCTCCGAGATAGATTCGTTCTGCTGCTGCTGCCGCCGCTGCCAAGAATCACCACTGGCTGCTTTGCTCACACATTCATCACCCTTCAAGCTGTGGCTGCTATTGTTGCTCCTCTCCCTCCTCCTGCTCCTCCTCCCTCCACTATCGCTTTTGGAAGAAGAGAGGTGGTGTGGTTTTGTTTTTTGTTTTTTTAGCCTTTGCGAGGCCGAAACATCTTTTAAATGTTTCAAGATCGGATCAGCAGAATGTGATGTCTGATAGCTGCGGGCGGTGAAGAAAGCATGCCGTTTTTCTTCGGCCGTTGCTGCGCTGTTAAGGTGTCTGCCTGCATGCATTTGATGTGTGTGTCTGAATGCAGAAAGCTCTCTTAATTTCTGGCTCCCTCCATATGCAGTCGAGGTGGGCGGATCGAAGGCTTTCAAAGGGGAAGCGTCTGCCTTGAAAAACCGGGGGTGGGGGGAGTGCTGCTTTTAATTCACTTGTGGCAAACTCTCATTGTACCAACTTTGTGTCTTCCCGAACACTTGCTTTGCTTGATTACTTTGCAGTCGCTGAAGGATGCTCAGGGAGCTGCATTTTGAGTTTCCATCAGTAATAGTGCAGGATAAGGACTGTTGCGGGTGCAACTGAAGAGGGAGGACACATAAGAAATGTGGGATGAATGAAATGCAATGGAGGTTTATTCTTTTTTTTTTTTTTTATAGGGATAGCTTTATAGCAAGTGCAGAAGAAGGAGCAGTTAAAGGATACAACATGAAGGTATTACGGCCTTGGGTTACAAATTGTTTTGCTGTTGTCACCACAGTAGTGCTTTAAATATGCCTCTATTTTAACAAATAGAGAAGCTTGAATTACATATGATTACGTCATTTTATAGTGCCATGAAGAATTTGTTTAAAAGTTTATCCTGAGTCATTCCTCTGCAGATTAACCTTACTGATACTTAAAGCTGATTGTAATGTTTTTTATATGCATGTCTATTTTAAATGAGGGAAGTTGGCAGCAGATCAGTTTGTAAAATGTATATTTATTTAGAAAAAGATACAGTTAAATTAAGAAAATCATAGTTGCATTTGTCAGTCTAGTCATGTCTCCATAGTGTTTTACTAAGATACTGCTGAAATATGATTCAGATGTTATTGTCAACAGCATGGATTTCTGTCCTTTCGTTCATCTAAATGTATTTTAAAAGGCTTTGTTCTGTATTATGTGGTGCTAGAAAATTAAATGGATATGGATTGTAGGATATTGTGGGTTTCTATGTGGTGAAAATGGGAGGAAGAGCCATCAATCTAGTAAGGACTGAATCTTCTGCATTTTGATCAGAGATGGTACAAAGACAGGGTATGTGTTATAGTTTTTATGGGTAAATATAATACTTTAGAGCTCAATTCTTGCAATTATTGACCTCGATGACTAAACATGTCTCTGAGATTAGGACTGCACCAGTAGTACTGTATGCTTCAGGCATGTCTGTGGAGTGAAGCAGAGTCTGTTTCAGCATATGCTATTGAATGCTATAATGTGAATGACTTTGACTTTTTATTGATCTCTGTACAGGCTGTTTAGAAAAATGCATTATGAGGATAGTTACTGGCTGTGTGTAGTAGCTAAACTGTAACAAATTTTGACATTTTTTCCCCATAGACTATCTTGTTTTTCTTTTCTAATCTTCCCATTCTCATTTGCTGAAGGCTAATGGTTGGTGTTAAAACTGCATGTATTTGGCTACCTAAAATAATAGAAGATAGATTTATGAAATCATATTCAGGTTTAAACATTTTAGCGCTTACAGCAAAGATGTTCCATGTACGAAACAATATGTAGTGAGATTGTATCGTCATTTTGGGAAGCTCCTTGTATTAGCTAGGAATGGAAACATGTCAGGTTAAGCAAATAAAATTGTATCTGCATGTGTCCTTAAAAGTAAGTTGTGCTGATGTTATATACATATAATACTTGTGTGCAATTATAAGGAGCTAATCCCAAGTCAATGAAGGTGTTAAGAAAACTGAAAACCATGCTTTTTCTAGAATCTATAGGTCAGAAAAGAATATGTGTGACAGTTTGGCGCTGAGATTTAGCAGTGAAGAGCAGACAATTTTGACATTCTAAAGAAAACATTAGACTAACTTATTGTACATGTACATTATTTTTGTCTGCAGTGGACATGTGCAGCATGCCATGGAGCTAAAATCAGGAATTATGACATTTTTTGAAATGTAACGTGTATACTTAAGAACAGGACCAACCTGCTGGATCAGACCAAAGTCCTCCCTAATGTGGCATCCTGTTTCCTGTAGTAGTCAAGCAGTTGTTACTGGGAAGCCTGCAAGTAGGATGTAAGGATCATAGCCCCGATTGCTGCTTCAGGATCACGCTGCTTTTGATATTAGAGATAATATATAGTTATCACAACTGCTGTCCATTGATGGCTATGTTCTGCCTGTGGTCATTAATAAAGAATAGCTTCAATGAATTTCCAACATTTCAGAGGGTTGAGAGAATGAGGTTTCCATGCTGATGAGAAATCTTAATTCCTGGATGCATGTCAATTCTGCACAAAGACCTCTGCTTTCAAATCACTTATACTACTATGTTTCAGGATGGAAAGAAACTACATATTAAAGTTTGGAGGTGATGGGATGAAATAATTGAAGTGTGCACATGATACTGGATAGCACAATATGCTCTTCAGTTGCTTTTCTTTTTTTCTTTATATTTTATTGTAGACTTGGATTCCATCTATTTATAAAATCAGTGTAAGCCTACATAAGAAATAAAGAAAATAATTTGTTAACAGCTCATTTTGCAACTGTCTTCTGAAATTTTTGATACAGTCTTTTCTTCTTAAAATGACCCAGTGGGACAATAGGACAAGGTAGCCATCTGGTACTCTTTTGACAAGTTTGTTCAGTTTTTTAGAAAACGAAAAGTGAGATTATATTCTGAATTTTCATTTCAGATGGACGGCTCGAAAAGCTATATGTAGGATAAAAGCAAGACGGCACTTGTCCTCCAGTGGCCATTGAGATCTGGGTTTACCATTTGCATACCCGTATATAAAATACGATGCATGCAGTTCTGTTTTGTGCAGTCATGAGGAATTTTACAAACATCACATTGTTGACATTCAGTAGACACAAAAATATGACTGTACTTCCCAACTTTGCAGTTAAATGCATTTAGACAGCCCAGAACAACTTACAGCAGAGCTCATTACAGCAGAGCCTACAGCAGAGCGGAGGCTACACGTCTTGGTGTTTGCATTTGCTGCCATCTTTCATAGCATGGTATAATAGGACTTGGGAGCTGCAAAAAATAAACAGAGGGGCCTACCTGAATGTATAGTTGGTTCATAACCTTTTTTCTGCAACCAGGTTTTTAAACATTTCAGTTAATACAAAACTGACAAAAAAGTCCTTAAGAAAAAAAAAATGAAATTCTTCAAAATTCTTAGTATATTCTAATTCTGCCCCCAATAAATATATATCAGCATTTATGAATTATTGTCTCTATATACGTAGGTACCTGCTTAAACACTGACTTCTTAGTGAATAAAGTTAGATAAACCTGCTCTTGCTTGTTAAGCATTTTATGTTTGAAAAGGCAAAGTTAATTGCATAGAAATCTGGAGCTTTTCTTGTTTGTTTATTTTATTTATTTATTTATATATTAAATTTATATGCTGCCCATCTCCCCTAGATGGTTGCTACCCTTAATCTCTTCAGTGTGCAGAACAGTTGCTAGATCTTCCTACTGCAAGTTTATTCAAAATATTTTTGAATTTGATAGTAAAGCACTGAAATAATCTGATCATTCTGCAAATGAATATAAATACATTGCCACAGCAAATGTTAGGGATATGGTTCAATAGGAAAAGTACTGAACACACGATCTCTTTCAATGTGTAATATTATATACCAGCAGAAACATTTGTTATCACTGTAGATCTAGTTAACATTTTTGAAAATGAGCAGATGGATTTTTTCATTTGAACTAGTTTTAATTGTCTGTGGCCCAGAGATTTAAGATGTGAATCAATAACTTTTAGAAGAAATTGTATAACGTGGTAAACATTTACTGAAGCAAAAATAATAGTCACCCTGATCTTTTCCCTCATCTTCCTATCTTTCTCTAGCTACCAGCACCAGCCCAAATAAAATGCCTTATGGTATTTAAACATTCCATACGTTGTAGGGTCTTCAAAAGAGAAGTATTTCTCAATTCTGGAGTAGCTTATGTGAACATACCAATGTTTCCTTGAATTTAGTTAGGGCAGCAGTCTAAGAATGTTACCTGTTAATCTACAAATTCTAGTAGATAATAAAGGAAAATGCTCATGTTTGATTTGTGGAAAATGGGACCATATGCTATATATGCATCTTAGGTGTGAGTCGCTGAGTACAATCTAAGCTACTGGATACAACATTTTCAGACTTAGATATATTTAAACCCTACCTATGGTAGAAACTATATAACTTCTAGATGTATGGTTCTCGGGCAAATATCCTCCCTTGCAGGCCACAGGTGGAGATGGTAATCCAGAAGAATCAGTACGGGCAGAACCATTGCAATATGACCAATAGCAATGTTGCCAAACAGATCTTTACAAAAGCTAAATAAAAAGGAGGTGAAAAAGCATGTTATCTTCTCACTTTAGAACTGACATAAAAGCGCACCAGGTATTTCTCTGTGTGAAAATGGAATCTGGGTCCAAGTGCCCTGCAGTACTAGTACTCTGAGAAATCTGACAGAAACAATGGGCAATGGTAGAATAGAATATACAATCATCAGCCTCTTAAGATTGCATAGACTTTGTTTTAGGTGAGCCATCCCTGCAGTAGAAAATAGGGAAATGCATTTGGGTGTTTTCTGCATACTGATGGCTCATTTATATAAACAATATTTGTATCTTCCTCCCAAGCAAATGTGTACCCACCCACAACTTTTCCAAAAGTCTTTGCAAAGCATTAATCTTTAAGTTATTTCCTGAGTCCATAAACAATTAAGCTGGATGGCTCTTTCTTATGAAGGAAGAGCCTAAGCCCCACTACTGAAAAGGCTCTTGTTTTACTGATAATTACTTTTATAGTTATGCTACTCTTTCTCCATTTACTTGCCTGACTCATTCAGTGCCTTTTCATACATTTCAAACTGCAAAGGAAGGAGAAGGTGAAAATCTGCAGAATCTATGCATTCACAGGAATATCTTCAAAAGATGGCTATTGCTATCCATAGATTATTGTTTCAAATTAAAAGAAGCAGATCTGATTTGGTAGTCTTAATAGATGCTTGCAGCTACAGTATCAGCACTCAGTAGATTGGAATTGTAGCATAAATGAGCTATCATACAGCTTTCAAAGAGAACATACCTTGCTGTGAAATCAGAATTTAAAATTGAGATTCACGTGGCAGCCAGGAGAAAATTCCAAGCATGGAGTATCAGTGTGTTTTTTGGGGGGGGGGTGCCTTCGAGTCAGTGTTGACTCCTGGCAACTGCCTAGACTAGTCCCTGCAGTTTTCTTGGCAAGATTTCAGAAGTGGTTTGCCATTGCCTCCTTCCTAGGGCTGAGAGAGTGACTGGTCAAAGGTCCCCCAGCTGGCTTTGTGCCTAAGGCAGGACTAGAACTCACAGTCTCCCAATTTCTAGCCTGTTACCTTAACCACTACACCAAACTGGCTCTTAGTGATTTAGCACTATCTCTACTTGTAGAACCCAGATAAACAGGAGAATAAATAACATACTTTTTTGAATT